GTGAAAAAAAAGTTCTTTGAGAATTCATGAGAGCATCATATGAGAAGTCAAAGAACTCTTCAAGTAAAAGAGTTATTATGTCATGTTTGTTCTCAAGGAGAATAGAATAATTAATCATCGCTTGTATAAGAGTTGACAAATCTCTTGAGATTTTATGGACGTGTATGCAGAACAATACATCAGTCATGTGGATCATTTGTGAATTTTATGGGTTGCTGCATCAAATGGATGATCACATGTATTTTATCTAATCGCAACCCGATGTTTGCGAGATTGGTTGCCTCACTATGGATACATTTTGATGATTATCCAATCAAACATCACTTTGCTTAATAGAACAAGCCGAGCCTTCTGGTCTCTTGTCGAGGACATGCTAGCTGACAAGTGATAGTATTGGTTCACATATAACCAACAAGTTATCATAAGTTCCCCCCCTTTTTACAAATGGTTTTTGTAAGAAACCTAACATTTCTCATATGAGAATATCAGGGTGTGCCGCATACATCCCAATTGCTCCACCACAGTATCTTAAGTTGATTCTCGTTGGAAATTGAGAATTTGTGTTGGGTATGAATCCCAAATGGGAAATTTGTTTGCGAAATTATTGTTTTGATGGATTACTTTTCCAACATTAAGCGGGAGAGAAAAAAAAAGCTAGACAAAGAGATGAGTTGGAATGAGTTATCATTATCTAGTTTTGATCCTCAAATTAAGAAACATGAACCTGAAGTTCATAAGATGAATTATCATTACCAACTATCAAATGTCTTTACTGACCATACAAAGTGTCCAAGTCATATATACTAGCTGTGAACGCTCCAACTAAATTTGATATCCTTGTTGGATACTCTAATATAAAAAAATGTGTCTAAAAGAGCGCATGAAGCGTGATAGACCAATCGGTTCCAACGATAAACATCCTCGAGAAAAAAAAGAGCTGTGATTAGAATGGTCAACTCGAGGACATGAAAACTCAAGAAGAGTAACCAAGAATTAAGTATAATTTTAGTTCCAGAAGAACACATGTCTCTGAAAGTTGTGAAAGTGAAGAGATCTCAAAAACATATTAGACTACAATACTGGGACCGTAATGAAATCATTGTCGATGAAATTTGTTTGTTGTACTTCAGTACTGAATATGATATGTACAAGTGAGGATCAAGAGTAAAACTCTATTGATGCATGCAAATGGTAATGTTATTGGCCAATATAGAAAGAAATCATGAAACGTGCTCAAGGAGCATAAAGTTTTAAGGACCAGAAGTCCTTGCACCTAAAAAGGGGCAAAAATAGCCGGATACAAACAAATTTTTGTGCTATTGGAAAGTATGAAATTGTGAGATATATCACATAATGTTTGCAATGGGTTTCTCGAAGAGACCTATCATTGTTTAGGAGGAGTTATACTCCCCTGTGGTGGATGCAACTACTTTTTCAAATCAATGTTTGAAAATTGTTGTGATAGCCTATTTGTTTGAATTCCCTGAAGATGTTATATATATTTGAAAATCCTAGAAGGATTAATTACTCCTAGAAGGATTAATTTACCTGAAGTAAACAAGTAAAGTTCTCGAGAACATATATAGATAGACTAAGAAAATCCCTTGTGTGGGTTGAGAAAATATAGACGAATGTGAAATACTCGTTTAAGTGAACACCTACAAAAGTTGGGTGAATGGACCTTAAAAGGTTAAATCCGGATAGAGTCATTAGAGCATTTGCATTGTGCGTATATAGTTGTGTTGTCTGTATGTGTTTCAAGGATTTTAAATTCTTGATTTATGAGTTGTGATTTACTTTAAAGTATGAGTTGTGTTTTATGAGTGTGCTTTGTCTAGTTCATATGTTTCTATGATGTGTGTTTTGTTAATATCTTTCATGATATGAAAGAATTGCTTGCTTCAATTTGTTTTTGTCAAGTTTTTTTGTGACGATCTCATATTATGTTGATGATATGTTTATTATTGGAGCTTCTGAAGAGCTTCCTAAAGCAGTTGATTGCTTAGAGACATATGTTAAATTGAAGGATTTAAGATCCTTTTTATTGGAAAGGAATGTAACGTTGAAAAAGTGGAAAAGTAATTTTGCATGAACAAATTAGGTTCATCAAATAACATTAGGATCCTAAGATCACTAGAAGTGACCAAAGATCTATTTAGGCATCAAGAATGAAGTGAGACATTAGGTCTTGAAGTACTTTATGTTGATGTACTAGGTCCTGCAGTACCATATGTTGATGCATTAGAGCACCAATGCACCTTGCTAGCCAAGCACCATATAAACTATCATTTTGGTGTTGATAATATTGGCAAGATACAATGTTTCCCTCATTAGAACGTTGGAAAATACTTTGTTACCTCCGGGAACAATATATGCGATTGTTCTATTATGGTACTATCAAAGAGAGATTTGGTGAACTATATATTCATATCCTATAATATCATTTGATCCTCATATTGGTTGATCGGAGACGAGCTATCTCTTACATATGGTGATGTGATTGTTTCATAGATATCCAAAACAAACTATAGTAGGCAAGTCCTGAATGTATTTCGTTACACTTTGTGATTCACCATATCTAAAGGACTTGTGGTTGTAAACTATTTCCAAAGGAAATGATCCTGACGATCATGTATGAAGAAAATCTAAAGATCATGTATCAAATTGACAATCTAGAAGATTGTTCACTAACTCACTCCCGACAACAATCTTTCTAAAAGTTGTTCGTGAAATTTGAGTTCAACGACTCAATCATCTGAAGTGATGTGGTCATGAGGGGGAGCATATACACACTGCACTCTTTTTCCCTTAACCATGGTTTTTTCCCAATGGGTTTTCCTGGTAAGGTTTTTAACGAGGCAGTATGAGATAGCGTAATGCAATCTAGTGGTCATCCAAGGGGGAGTATTATGTAAATATTGATATATGGATGACCATTGCCATTACCACATTAGATGCTCACTTGGGAGTTACATGTAACCCCTAGTCCTACATTATTATCTTTCATTCATATGCATTGATATAAGGATGTAGTGGTTACCAAAGTGTGCATATAAATAGATCATATTATTGTATCAAAAGTGAAGAATGAATAAGAACGCTCACGTCCCCCTATCTTCTTTGTGTCTTTCCCTCTCTAATCTCTCTTGTAGTTGTTTATATTACATTAGTTTCATAACAATAGTTTTAATTTAAGCATCCTTAACTCATGATTTGTTTGGTAATTATTATTTTTTAATTTAGATTATTATTGATAATTTCTTTCATTATATTGCAGATATAATGACAATTGAATTTTAAAAAACACGTTCTACCCCGTGCTCATTTATTAGTTCTCCTAGCTGTGGAAGATAAAATCTTGGGTCCTTCAGAAATAGGTTCAACTATATATGCTGAAATTTCAGATCCTAAAGCAGATCCTAAATATTTTGAAGCATTTAATTTTTTTTTTATGTTTCACAGACCATGTAGCATTCAAGTACCTATAGATCCATGTACAACTAATGGTACCTGTGAGGGGAGAAATATTGTTCAAAATTTGCACGCGGTAAATTCAACTCCAATGAAAAAGATGATTTGTTATTTGTAAATATTTTACCACTAAATTTTAGTGTGCAATGAAATGCAGGAAAACAAGGAAGAGATTAATGAAATGCCAGTGAAGAAGGAATAGACTATTGATAATGTAGATAAATGTGTCATTAACGGAGCTGATGATGGTGCTCGTGGTGGAGGAAATTAAATAAGTCAAAATAAAAACGTGCAGTATTACTGATGATGACTAAATAAAAGGGTGGTTAGAAGTAAGTTCCCTTGCATGTGGTTTGCCTTTCATTTCCATAAAAAAATTTAGTTGATGAGTCATTAGCATGACAGAAAACAGTATGATGTTGATCTTTTTCAAGTGTTGAATTATTTTAATAATTTGAATTCTCTTATTCTACCAATTAATTTGAATATTTAGAGTATTTTAATAATTTATATTTTCTTATATCACCAAAAAACATGTATCTTGCATACAACTTACCATTATTGTTTACGTGATTGGAGATCGGATTTGGCAAACTAGCCGGGCCCGTGACTAGTTTTATATGAAAAAATGACTTTCGATTTTTTGTGATTCAAGTTATTTACAAGCAACATGATAAATCACAAAATTCACCTACCCCAAATGATCACTATGGGGAATGGCCAGCTCACGAGTTGAGCTAAAAAAACCACTGAGTCGAGCTAGCTCGCGAGCTCCCCGAGATGCAGAAGGGTTAGCTCAAACTCGGCTCATTAGTAAACGAGCTGAGTTTCGAACGATTTTTTACGAGTCGAGCGCCGAGCCGTTCGCGAGCAGCTCGACTCATTTGCAGCTCTAGGCCACAACGAAGACAAGGAGGCGGGGTATCGAAGGTCTCGATTGGAGGTGATTTGAGAAAAAAAATCCAAAAATTGGGTTTAGAATGGCAATTTGAACCCGCCCCGCCTGATATTACCCGACCTGACCCGCAGTAGCGTGGGGCGGGGCATGGGTATCTACTTCCAACTCCCCCTGTCCCGCCCTGCCCCGTTCTTGGCCCATTATATCTCAATTTCTTACAGTAAGTATTCATATTTCTCCTATTTTTACTTTTGTTCAACGATTTGATATTTCAACTAGTTAGAGTCAATTACTCATACTATTATCACTTACTTCGTTTATAACGTGTTTTCCCTTCGTTTTATCATAAAAAGTAAAATTTTACGTGTAATTTTATCAAATAACATATTAGAGTGGGTCGACCTGCCTCACCTTGTATACACACGAGTATCACCCGCCCCAATCCATAATAACATAGGGTGGGGAATGGGTATTGAGGTACACGCCCCGACTCGCCCTATTGCATTGGGTTGCTAGGGGGCGAAACGAGGAGTAGAGGGAGAAAAAAAATTCAACGAAAAAAAAAAGAGAAGAAAGGGATAGAACGGTAAATATATTCCCCAATTCCCTAGCCTATAGCATTTTAAAAAGATAAGGGAAACCCTTACCAGAGATCAGTCTCTCTGCTTCCGCCGCTCTCCCTTGTTAGCCTCTCCGCAAAACCAAAACTCTTAGACAAGGTAAATCGAAGTGACTCAAAACCCTAATCAGTACCAGATTTATGGTTCTTCCTGTTTGCGTTTTGCGTTTCATCTGCTCCCTTTCGGCCGGCGGCTGTTTTTGTTCTCACTAATGGATGGTGTTTCTTTCTTGTTTTACTTTGCAGATGAATCGGGAGAAGCTCATGAAGATGGCCGGTTCTGTCCGCACAGGCGGAAAGGGAACCGTGCGCAGGTGGTTTAAATAGGGGTTTTTTTTTTCTTCTGATGGATTTGGTTTTGTTTTGATTAGATTTGAGTGATTTAGGGTTTTGTGTTAATTCTTCCTTCTTTTGGTCCTTGTAGAAAGAAGAAGGCAGTGCACAAATCGACCACCACTGACGACAAGAAGCTTCAGAGCACTCTAAAGAGGATAGGTGTCAACACCATCCCGGCTATTGAGGAAGTCAACATTTTCAAGGATGATTTGGTCATTCAGTTTGTTAACCCTAAGGTGCAAGCTTCCATCGTTGCCAACACTTGGGTCATTACTGGTTCTCCTCAAACCAGAAGTAATCTCCCTGCTCTTTCCTGTTACTGATCTGATGTTTTCCTGGAGTCCAATGGTGTTTATATTTCCTTCGTGGGTTTGGCTGATGTAAGTTTAACCTTGTGTTATTACAGAACTTCAAGATATTCTTCCAGGGATTATCAACCAGCTTGGTATGTTTTCTTTACAGTCGGTGTGAATGTTTAGTATGTGTTGTAAATGAAGCTGGATTGAGTTGTAGGAACTTCCACTCATACTTAAGGAACCTGTGTTGATTATGAACCAATGTTTTGTGGTATCATTCTTATTAGGTAGTGTTTCTAGAGCTAGCTTGCAAACCTGTTTAGCGTATGGGTAAATCAAATGTCTTGTTTGTGCAATGTATATGGAACATATGCATGGTTTTTGCTTCGGTTCCAAGAGTTGAGGGAAGAGATGACATAAGCGATGTTCTACCTCTCCTTGGTATTTGGTAATGAAGGTTTTTGTTTTGCCCAAATTAGTTCAATTTATCTTTTTAGGGGTGTTTAACCTGGGTTATTAACATTTCAAGTTGTCTCAGAAGCTTGTACCTGGTTTATGAACATAGGCATGCTTTCACTCTGCCATTCATCAACAATGCTTATGCATTCTAATTTACTAATCCTATGTTTTCATTCACTTAACTAACTAATTCGTTGGGAGCTGTCAAGTTAGTGTCACTTGAGCTACTGCCGAGACATCATGCTATGGCCTGTTCTGTTTTCTATTTTCCTGTAATGCTGGATACTCTGAGTTATGCTTTGCTTACCATTTCTGTCTCCTACATTTCAGGCCCAGATAACTTGGACAACCTGAAGAAGTTGGCTGAGCAATTCCAAAAGGAGGCCCCCACTGGTGCCACTGGAGTAGTTCAGGAAGATGATGATGATGTCCCAGAACTTGTAGCCGGAGAGACATTCGAAGCTGCGGCAGCGGAAGAAACCCATACTTAAGACTGGAAGCTCTGAGGGTCTTTTTTGTTTTGCTTTTCTTCAGATTTGCTCTTATTCTCTCTCCGTGGTTGTTACCTCTCCTTTTTTCCTTCCTGATGAACTTGACAATTCTGTAGTAGTTTTTTGCTTTGTCAACGTTCCTTGTGAGCAGCTCAGAAACAATTATTACTATGGAATCGAGTAAAACAGTTTTAGGGTGTCATTTAGTTGATGGTTCTAGGTTGCTTCCAACCGTTATGGTCTGAAGGTTCTGTTCATGGTCTCTTAGATTAGTGTATTTTGTGCATTGGTTGTGCAAGTTCCGGCTGCAGCTAATATTTTCAGGTCTCAAATTGTTCATTTCAGGATCTGTGCATTGATCGTAGTATGGAAACAATTTAACTTTATGTATGGCTGACTGCCTCGAATGAACGTGGACCAGTGCTCTGTAGGCTGGGAACATTGGACGGGACAAGTTAGGCTTAGAATGCTTCGATTTTGGATGGTGATAGAAAATGGAGTCTCGCTGAGTGGTGCTTAGTGTCAAGAAGGGACTGCATCACTGCAATTTGCCAGTCTAACCACGGTCTGGATAGATGGAAGGAACACATGCACTTACATGCAATGAATAAAAAAAGGCACACTTGCAAGAAATTAGTTCAACTTCCGGATCCTAGAAACGGGTTCCAGGCACTGGCGAGAATTAAGAGGAAGGACAGGTGAGTAAGTGGGTGTTTAATTATTTGATTAAACTCTTCCTAACTTTTAGATTTGGACACACTAACCTAACGGTTAAAAAATGGTAAAGATTTTTTTAATTAATAATAGGGTTATTTTAGGCATTATGAAAAATTATAAAGTATACAAACTGGGCTTATAAACAGTACAAATAATACAAACATTACAAACTAAAAATACAACATACAAACAGATTTACAAACAATACAAAACATACCAACTGTACAAACAATACAAACTAGACCGACAAACAATACAAACCATACAAGATGAAAAAACAACTAGGTTGACTTCGGAGGCTTTATTCCTATATAGAGGCGTTCCATCCCAAAGTCAACCCGGTTATTTTTTAGACATACGAACATTACCAACATGGTGGGAAAAAATGACAAACTAGGCCGACAAACCATATAAAATGGAAAAACACTCGGGTTGACTTTTGAGGCTCCCTCTCTATATAGAGGAGTTCCATCCAAAAGGCAATCATGTAGTTTTTTAAACATAAAAAAATATTACAAATATGGTTGACAAAAATGACAAACATGGTGGACAAATAACAAAGTTTACAAACATTACAAAAGAAACCAACAAACATTACAAAAATAACAAAGGTTACAAACATTACATAATAAACCGACAAACATTACAAAACATACTAACAGTACAAAACAACATTACTTAAAATATAAATCAGTAAAATTGCAATCAATGAATACAAAGTATACAAATAATAGCATAAAATATAAACATTACAAATACAATAGACAAAAATAACAAACTAGAATGATAAACTATAAAAACCGAATTGATATAAACATTACAAACTGGACTCATAAACATTATAAAATAGGTCGACAAACATCACGAATCCAGCACTGCCGCCAAATAATCCTCCTCCGGCGTCTCCAATCGCCGGAAAAACCGCGTCGCCGATCGACGAGAAAGCCAATGTCATCATACTCTCTCTCTCTCTCTCTCTCTCTCTCTCTCTCTCTCTCTCTCTCTCTCTCTCTCTCGAAGGGGAAGAAAGGAAAATTAATTTCCTTCGCGTGGCCTTTTCCCATGAAGCTCCGGTGGCTCGTTCATTACCGGCGCTTGAATTAATTTCCTCCCCTAGCCCCTGGTCTGCGGAGGCGGTGAGGGATGATGGGGAGGGAAATTCCGCCTCGGGAGGATTCCGCCGCCGGGAGGGTAGAAACCCATAAGCTTCACCAACCCTTTCTTCTGAATACCAGTGTGTACCTTCTGTCCTAAGAGAAACTTCAAATTCTCGTGGTCAGTAACGATAGTGAATGATCGACCCTCCAAATAGTGGCACCAATGATCAACTGCCATGAGAACTACGAGATTCTCCTTTTCATAAGTGCTCAGACCCTAATTTCTGACACTTAAGGATTTGCTGAAATAGGCTAGAGGCCGACCTCCTTGGGATAATACAACACCAACTCCAGTTCCACAAGCGTCTGTCTCCAGGATGAAAGGAATTGTAATGTTGGGAAGAGCCAACACAGGGGCTTCACACATGGCTTGTTTCAGGGCAACAAATGCGACATCATCTACAGAACTCCACTGGAACCCATTTTTCCGCAGCAGATCAGTCAAAGGGTGGCTAATTGTTCCATAGTTGCGAACAAATTTCCTGTAATAGCCCGTGAGACCCAAAAACCCCCCTTAGTTGCTTGACAGATTGCGGTCGTGGCCATCTCTGCATAGCCGATATTTTGCTTGGATCAGTTGCTACACCCTCAAGACTAATAATGTGGCCCAGATATTCCACCTTGGGTTGGCCAAAGGCCCACTTTGATTCCTTGGAAAACAAATGATTGTCCCTCAACAGTTGCAAGGCAATCTCTAAGTGTTGTAAATGAGCCTCCTTTGTCTTAGGGTTAATATTTTTGTATGGCCTGAACTTTGACCAAAATAAATATCCTGACCAATCTTTTCGATCTATAACATCCTGGCCCAAACTATACACCAAAATAAACAATTTGACCAAACTCGATGTTTGACCGTTAACTTGGACGGTCAAACGCGTTGACTAACGGTCAACGCGCCACGTCACTGCCAAGTCAGAAGATCTGATAAATATTTAATTTTTTTGTTTTTTATTTTTGGTTTAACTAAGGTATTAGATGATTTTTATAAATTTATAATAATTTAAAATTAGGGAATGTGTGGAAATTATGAATTATTTTAAATATTTTATGCTGACTTGGCAGTGACATGGCGCGTTGACTAACGGTCAACGCGTTTGACCGCCCAAGTTAACGGTCAAAAGTCGGATCTGGCCAAATTGTTTATTTTGGTGTATAGTTCGGGCCAGAATGTTATAGATCGAAAAGATTGGCCAGAATGTTTATTTTGGTCAAAGTTCAGGCCATACGAAAATATTAACCCTTTGTCTTACTATATACTAGAATATCATCAAAGAACACTAAAATAAACTTCCGCAAGTACTGACCAAACACATGATTCATGAGAGCCTGGAAGGTGGCAGGGGCATTGGTGAGACCGAAGGGCATAACCCTTAACTCATAATGGCCCTGATGAGTTCTGAAGGCAGTTTTGAACTGATCCGCAGGGTGCATACGGATTTGATGGCAACCAGCCCGTAAATCCAGCTTGGAAAAGATAACAGAACCATGTAATTTATCCAATAAATCTTCTATGTGTGGAATGGGAAACTTGTCATTGACAGTGGCAGCATTTAACTCCCTGTAATCAGCACAAAAGCTCCAAGTGCCATCCTTTTTTCCAATGAGTAGGACCGGAGAAGCATAGGGGCTATGACTAGGCTGTATGAACTCAGACTGCAACATTTCATTCACCAACTTTTAAGCTACATCCTTCTGGTGGTGAGGGAAGCGATAAGGGCGGATGTTTATGGGTTTAGCATAAGGAAGGAGAGGAATAGTGTGATCACAAGTACAGGAAGGTGGAAGTGAAGAAGGAGCGGCAAACACATAAGAGAAAGTGGCGAGCAGGGGTGTCAAGAAAGGTGGTGTGGGACTAGGGGTAGGGGTGGCTTCAATGGAAAACACAGCTCCTGTTAAGTGGGAGCAAGGTTTCTTAAGGAGATGCTGGAAATTACAACCTGTCATCATCTTACACTGTCCATCCTTAGAGAGACCTTGGAGAGTTAGAGTACCCCCCTTTTCATTCAAAAGCCAGCTGTCGCTTCTTGAGATCCACTTGGAAAGGGCTAATGGTTTCCAACCAATCCCAACCCAAAACCAAATCATGAGAAGGAAACTCCAATGTTCTGACATCAAACCCGAACTCGTGGCCATGCAATTTCTAACTAAAGCCCCTACAAACCGCATTACTAAGCAGGGTATGACCACTAGCAACTTTCACTCACATAGGAGCAATGCTTTCAGTGGGGCAATTCAATTCTTCCGCCCTAATCGAGTTTAAGAAAGTATGCGAACTACTAGTGTCAATCAAAACAGTTACCTCCTTATGTCGTGGTGTGGCAGGAATCAGTAGGGAATTACCTGAAAATTCGGACCCCATAGCTTGCAGAGAAACCTCAAGCTCAGCGTCCTGAAATTCTTCATCACCTTCGTCCTCCTCACTAGCCAACGGAGTAACCTCCGCATGCGTCACCTAAAGTTGCTTCCTCCAGTGCAAATATGGTCGTGGAAGTATTTATCACCACATTTGTAGCACAGACCTTGCACGCGGGGAACGGAGGAGCGCTCTGTGGCCTGAAAAGAAGAAGATGGGGAAGCCTTTGTCGGAATCGGTGGAGCGGTCACCACCCAACGACTGGAAGAAGTGGTACGAGTCTTCCGCTGGCTGGCTTCAATGGTGGCCTCCTCAAGACGAGCCTGATAGAAAGCACACGCCAAGGTAGGAGGATTAAGCACATATACGCGAGGCTGAATTTCGTCGTCAAGGCCTCCCAAGAAACTGGGGATGAAATAATGCTCGTTAAGCTCCGGATTGAGGCGAAGCATACGCGAGCGTAACTCCTCATGATATCCCGAAAAAATTTCGGCGGGAGCTGCGCACCGCGAGGGAGGAAGGACAATTATAATTTTGTTTTAATTGCTAAATAAATTAGATAATCACTACATTGTGCTTCATTAAATTAGATTAATTATAGTCATTGGATTTTAATGAAGTGGAAGGGGTGAGATTTACTTAGTCATGTGACTAAGTCCAGCTTAGGATACTGTCAGTAACCCCTGGTTATTGACCAATGAGTAACCAAATCTCAGCCGTCAGATTTAAGTGAGCCTAGAAAATTTAGATTTAAGGGTGGAGAATTAAAAACATTTTATTTTTACTAGTTTTCTTAATCAGCCCTTATCTTCTTCGTTCTAACTCGGATTTCAATTTTTTTGCAAAGATGAAATGAGTTCGTTGTGCTCTACAAAATGAGATTTACTTTCAATATTTTTGAGAATTTTTTTTTCATACCTCTCGTTACCAACTTCATACCATATGGTAACTCCTTCATTTTTAAGTCGTTTTTTACAATGTTTGCTTAGAAGGAATGAGTTCATCATGATCTATTTGGATATATAAATTTCCGGGTGAAAAAAATACAGAACCAAAAATTACCATACTTTACCACCCTGGTATGGTGGTGGTAACTTGTGATAAACAATGATGAAAATCATAAATGGCAGTTAGTATACTCCTACTATCATGTACTTAACCTTCCCACAGTCTTGGTATGTTCATACCATCATGATACGCTTTCTTACCGTATGATATGCTCCTATTCAATACCATATGATATTGACTTGTAAAAAAGGACTCAATTTTTTTTTATTCTACAAATATATCAAAGTGGATATCATTTTAAAGAGCACAATTAATCTGTGCAAAAAAATTTTAAAACGAGAGAGAAATCGTCCATTAAAGATTGGAAAAGATAAAAGGTTTTCCATGAGAGAGAGAGGGATGCTGATGTCACGCTGATGTTGAAGTGTTACTCATGGTTACACACTCTAAAGTTACTTACCTGATCCGATCCCACTAAGTCCCCCGTGCATTATAGCACTGTTATAGCACCTTGGGCCTTGGTGCCGAGTTGGGCTTAGTAATTAAGGTATTATTATTAGTTAATTGTTAGATTATTTGGTTATTCGTATTAATTTATTGTGTTTTGTTGAGGAAGTTATTATTTACTCATTGGGTTAGGATTAAGTATACCTTGTTTGAGAGGGAAAGGGTTATGAGAGTAGTCCTATAAATATGTACGTTGTTATTTGATTTTAAGACGTCAATGAATTAACCCGAGGATTATCCACCCCCTCCCCCTAATCACCTGATCCTAATCTTAACCCGTGGATTAAACAAGTTGCAGATCTATCCATCTGGCTGAAACCAACCACAATAAATAACACCAAAATAACAACGTAGGACTGTATAGAATCGGTATAAAACTGAACTCTCATGAAGTTAGAGGTGGTAAGCGAGATCCAAATCATGAATTGGTGAATTGGATTGATGGATTCATGATCATATCAGCCGGTGAATTAAATTGTGCTCCCGCCCGAGCTTTTGCAACAGCAGGTTGCATTTGCAGATTTGAGGGTGGAATAAACTTAGCTAACTGCAATTCTCTATTATCCCTGGTGTGCGTTTAATTATTTATAGATTCATGTTGACAAATTACATTAAATACCAACTTAAGACACAAATCTACTGAAATCCGATCCACAAATTCGGCCATGAATCTGATATACAAATCTTTGCCACCTCTACATGGAGTCAGCACTTCAAGCTTAACATCATACTTAGCATAGAACAGAGGGAACAATCATATTGAGGCAAATCTCGTATTGGGTACTGGTTACGAAGCCATCGAGAAAGCGATGAGGTCGGTGGAAAGCATTTTAGATCGAGACTTAGTAGTTGCAACTTGCAAGTAGCCATCCGACACGTGATGCGAATCACGTTTGGCATCGCACAGAAAAAGAAAAGGATCATCAATTATTTTCTAGTGGCATTCCAAGATCAAATATCAAAACAAGGAGAGCGATGCAAAAACCGGGTTAAAAGCCCGATCGGACCACATTGACCAATCGATACAGCGACAGTTGTACAGTACCATTGATCAAATGACCACCTCCAAGTAAGCTTAGAGGCGACCGACTCTTTGCATCTCATCCATGGCGATGTGATAAATATAGAATGGAAAACTAGACAGGGATTACGAGACCACCATTTTTTATTCTGGGAACCAATCAGTAAGCAATGACGGCACTCCATAAAACATCCAGCAAGTCTGAAGACACATATAACACCACCACAACCAAAAACTAGTTTTCACTTGCTGACGATTTAAGACAGCCACACAGCACAAACTTAAAAAGCAAACAAATTCCAGACAGTACTTATATCCCCCAAACTTTCAATCCGTCCCAACTGTCCCACACATGTGAGATTCTTCACCCTTTTCCTTCTAAACAACTCGAAAGTCTACTAGGTACATAACAAGATCTCGCTTATCTTGCAACTTTTAGAAACCATGGATCTTGATGTTCTCCTTCTTAACAATCCCAGCCTATTGAACCAAATAAAGAACACCATAAGCTAATGAAGGCATTGAACTATTGAAGCAATTGACATGAGAATTATGAATTGCTAGTACCTGCACAAGGAATGTGGAGACGTTCTTCCTCTGATCGCCCTGAAGCTGAATGACCTGTGATATACAGGGAGAAAAGTCCCAACTTTATCAGTCAGGCATGAACTGGGATATGATGCTGAAAATTAACTCGATCAAAAAGGTGGTAATGGGTTTATACAAACCTGGCCTAACTCAGGGTCCTGGACGACTGTACCATTACAGCAGAACTCCTTCTTCAAGTCCTTGAGTATCTTGTTGTAGCTGAACTCTTTCTTCAACCCTTGCACAGTAGTCAGGCTTTTCCTCCCATTTCGCTGCTGTATGCGCACATGAACGTACTCTTTTGTACCCGCACCAGAGTCCTCAGCATTTGCATCAGCAAAAGGGTCTGCACAACAATAACCCGGATAAGCAAAAACTTGACTTACTACACCCACCAAACTAAGGAGCGAGGCACTGGTACATATATTGACCAGAGATTGGGAACATACCAAATGCAGATGGAATCTGATTGTCAAACTCAGACATGAACCTTGGATTGAATGAGTAGAGCAGAACCAATACAATGCCCTTGTGCAGAATAAGCCTTCAAATGCTGGAATCCAACCACAAAACATGAAAAAAGCCCTATAGTCAGAAAACTGCAGCTATAGATCCAAACCCCAGAACATAATGAACTAGCTCTACGATTCACAAAAATAGATAATCATCTCAATCCCATCAGATCAGCTTACTATCAGCAGTCACTAACATTATCTCAATATAACCCAGTGACAGAAAGTTCCTCTCAATACCAACTATAGCACCCACAAACTCATTCATCTATCAGGTCCAATATCCACCCTCTACCTACACAGCGGATTGGCCAATCCATAAAACCCGCAAGCTACAGCAGATCTCGCGGACCACAAGAAACGACGTTAACATATAAACGAACAACTCAGACACGCCCTCAATTCCAATCGAAAAAAGAAATCATGGATGGCAAAAACCCTAAAATCCAGCACGCCCCAAAAGGATTGAAAGAGGATCTGACAAAAGATCAATCCGTAAACAAAATCCAAGATAAAAGGGGGGGAAAAAAGCTCAAGAAACCTAAATCAAGATGCAGCCTTTTCGATCAAACCAGAACAATTACAAGAAAGACAATTCACAACCCACAACCAGAAGCGACGGGGAGAGTTCGGATTCTTTCAGTTACCAACCTGAGTAACGGAAGGAAGCTTGACGAATCTGGGTTCGGGAAGAAAGGGAACCGGTTACAAGGCGGAGGACGAGATAGAGATAGAGAGAGAGATCGGGGAGATTTATTCTTCCTATATAGAGCAGAGGCGACTTTTTTTCTCTTCGAAAACCAAATGAACCGCCTCTCCTTATCTCTCTCTTCCTTCTCTCTCTACTTTCTTAGTGGCACAGAACAAATGAATTTTCCTCTCCCAACCCCTACGAATTTTTTGGTTTTACATAGAAAAAGAGACCTCTTGGGCTCAAGGTCTGCTATTTTTCCGTCGGTTTATCCGCTGGATGGACGGCTGTGATCGTATTGCTGCGATGCGGGACCCTCTATTTTGGAAAATTGCGAAAAGTTCGTTGATCTGAAGGAGACGAATGATTAACTTAAAATAAGCTAAATGACAAATATCTCCCTTCTGCGTACGGTTTACGCTTTGGATACGATGTCGACAATTTCAGGCTTGGGCTACGGCCTACGGGTCGGCCCAATTAGACCATCTCCAAAGTCCAAACGTAGAAACTAGAAAGTGGGTTTTCCCATTTTTGGTCTACAAGAGGATGTGGGAAAGACCAGAAAAGGGTAAGGTGGACATTTGGAGTGTGTTAGCGAGAGTAGGGGTGATAATCGGTTTACCGGTTAACGGTATGATCGGCTATCAAATTGGTAACCGGCGATTATTAGTTACATCGTTAATCGACAATATCGGTAGGCGGTAGCTAAAAGGATGTACTTGGTGTGCCGAAATTTACTTGGTTAGTAACCTACGGTTAGCCGGTAAACCAAATGTCGGAAATCACCTAAAAATGCGAAGAAATTCTCCCCAACTCCGTCTTCCTTCCCCTTTATCTCTCACCCAGTCCACCACCACCATAGGCTTCTATCTCTACGAAACCATTTCTATCTCTGCCGCCTTCTCTTATTCCTCCATTCCCAACTCACCCTTCCCTCCCACCTGATATCGATCCCCCGCAACCTCAATTTCATATCTCCATTAAAGAACAACCAATGCCATATTTCTCCATCTTCTCTTTCCCCCACCACAACATCTCGGTCCCCTAAACAAGAGCCTGCGGAAGAGGCCGTTTGCTATGGCATCGAGTCACAGCTCTGATTAGCCATGACTTTGCCTTTGTTGTCTGACATCGATGCCACTGTCATCAAGCTCGCGAGCTACATCGGTGGCGATTCTCATGCCTCAAACTGAAGCAGAGGGATTGGGGAAAGCTGGTGGTCGGCAGCGAGACAGTGCATGCTTGATTAACTACCGCTGAAAACCATCAGATATGCCAAAAATCCATAAGATCTGCAAACCACAAACCCCAAAATCTTTGTTGGCAAACCGATTAGTACCAAGCTCCCAACGATGACTCCTTCGTTACTGTCAGTTGATGCAAATGGCAGCCTTCTACAGGTCGCTCCACTCTCTGCCATTGAACAAATTCATCATAAGCAAAGCTGAACTTGACATAGTGAGTTCTTTTTCCCCTATAAACAAGACCTTGGGGGATCATAGTAATTCCTTTTATGGGGTGGATAATTGGGTGAAAAGGCAGCATTTGCACATATTCAAGTTCCAACTGAGTTGTTCTGTAGTGGAGGAAAAGAAGGAAATGTCAATAACCAGGTTGCTAACCTGTAGTCAGATATCTGGTAAACCGGTTGTTTCCCGATACCGCTAGTCGAAAGTAACTTGACAAGAATCGTTATACCGTTTAGTCGATACTGGTTAAACTGGTTAGCTGGTTACCGTTTAAACCGGTTACCGACCAATTATCAGCCCTAAGTGCGAGATAAAAGTGGGAAAGAGGACGAAAATCATATTTTTGGCAATGGTGACCGGCATGCACTGGAAGGTTAGATTCTGTTAATAAATATTATAGGCTGAATTATGCATGTATAATTAATTGATTGTGGGTATGATGATAGACTTAAGCCTATCAATTAATATTAGAACTAGTCATTGATCGATATTCTAATGTGTATATATATATGAGCTTAGAGAAATTATTGGGTACTCCAGGAGTACCACGTGTGCACTACCCAACTCGACCCGATTGCAAGGTCTAAATATATAGAAGAAGGGATTCAAACCTCCAATGGTTAAAGTAGCTACTTTCCAACTATGCTAACACTAAATTATACAATCATCTTTACCTATCTTGCTAATTATAAATGATATCCACAAAAAAATACCTCGAGAATAGAGGTTAGATAACATCAATTTGGGTGTTATATCAAATACCCCACAATTAAGTGTTTTCTTGTTCCTAAGAAAATATACGATCAAACCATGCAACTCGAAACATCTAAATCCCCTCTTCCCCTCCCTAACCCACACACTTGACATGGGAAACAAATGAATAGGGGTGTCTCGACCATCCATACACACATTCAACCTACTCAGAATTGAAAGTATATCATCGAATGAAAGGGGTAGGTGCAAAGCGTAAATCAACACTCTTGATTGCATGTAAGAAGGACAATGCTCTATAATGTTTTTTGTCCAATCTCAATTATATGTGTATTACTGCTCATTTCATTGGTAGAGATTGAAAGTTGCATAAGAGAATTATCAACTTTGTCCAAGTAACAAAACATTATGTAGATGATATTGGAAAAGATTTGACTAGTTGTTTGGTGGAGTGGGGTATTAAGAAGGTATCTTCTATCACAATAGACAATGCTAATGTTAACAATGTTGTTGCTATTTATATGATGCATGAACAATGCTAGTGTAAACAATGTTACTGCTATTTATATGAGGCAATAATTGAAAGAGTGGGAATCAGATGTTTTGTATGGAAAGTATTTGCAGATGAGATGTGTGGCTCATATGATAAATTTGGTTGTGAAGAAAGCATAAAGAAACTAGTATATATGTGGAGAGAGTGAGAGAGTATGTGAGATGTTTACAACTACACCTTCTGGGAGCAGAAAATTCAAAGATTGCATTGTATCTGAAAAAATAGAGTCAAAGATGCATGTGTCGTCGGATGTACCTACAAGGTGGAACTCTACATATCTCATGTTGGAATCTTCTCAGCCATCTAATAAGGAATTTTAAGCATCGGCGAGAAATGAGAGTAAATTCAACAAACATATGAATAAAAAGAAAAAATAATGAAAGCCTTGGTATCCTAACTTCAAAGGATTGGCAAATGTAGGACTATTGATTAATTATTTGAAGTTCTTCTATGATTTGAATATTTTTGTTTCTGGTACTTACCGCTAGGGTAGAAAGAGACTGTTGGTACACTTTTCACACGGCAGTATTCATACATAAACATTTGTTTATATGTAATTACTCAAATTTTGTTAAAAATTATACGTAAGTTGACAATTCTCGAGGGGGGGGGGGGGGGAGACCTCACCTAACTCTGCCTCTGTGCAGATAAGATATGTGGCTCATATTATAAATTTGGATTTGAATGATAATCTTAAAGAAATTAATATATATGTGAAAAGAATGAGAGAGTATGTCTGTGAGATGGGTTAGAGCTACACCTTCCAGGAGCAGGAAATTCCAAGACTGCATTGCATTTGAAAAAATAGAGTCGAAAATCGTTGGATTTACCTACAAGTTCGAACTTTACATTTCTCATGTTGGAATCTTCTCAGTCATCTGAGAACAAATTTTAATCAACGACTAGAAATGAGAGTAAATTCAACAAACATATGAATCAAAAGAAATATAATAATTAAAGCCTTGATATCCTAACTTCAAAGGATTGGCAAATTTAGGACGGTTGATTAATTATTTGAAGTTCTTCTATGATTTGAATATTTTTGTTTATGGTACTTACCGTTAGGGTAGAAAGAGACTGTTGGTACACTTTTCACACGGTAGTATTCATACATAAACATTTGTTTATATGTAATTATTCAAATTTCGTTAAAACTTATACGTATTCAAATTTCGTTAAAACTTCCATTTCATTTTTTAAATGTTTAAGCACTATAAGCATAAGTTTGCACTTCATGGTAGTTCTCTCATTGTAGTATCAGAACAGTAGTAATGTGGTAGTGGAAGTAGGGATTTGAAAAAAAAAACAAGATTTGGGATAATTCAAGAAGAATAAAGGAGAGGCTATTCGTAAAGGAACTAGAAAGATTTCTATATATGAGTTTGAATGATATATTGAGGAGGAAGAGTATGATGAGGAGGTTATATAATCAGTGTTGGGTTTTGAAGATGATGAGTACAAGTTTGATATATTGGGATGGTGGTCAGGAAATGGGCTCAACCAATACTTTTTTCCCGGAGGATACTGCACAAGCTTTTGAAGCTGCAGATATTGTTGTAGACATGAAATGCTTCTTACCACCTTTACTGTAGCAGCCCGTGACAGAACTTTCTCAAGTTTCCTGATCTGCCTTGCCTCGTTCTCCTTCTTGTGATTATGGCCATTTAGACTTCCATTTCATTTTGTGGTGGAAAGCTACCTCGTATGGAAGGCTCTGTTACAAAGGGGCTGAATCAGAAGAAGGAATTTTCCTTCGATTCAAATGTGACGTACCTGTGCAAGGGCAAAGAGGAGGCCGTCTAGAGTGAAGATGATTTGGACTTAAAGGTGGGCATGACTTCTTTATTGGAGACTGTGATCCAAGAGAAACATCTGGTAAACTTGGATCCTAGTTTCAAAAGCAGCACCGAACCTGGAGATCACGGTTCAACTGGTGGATGTTTGAGAAAATTTGGATGATGACGTTGTATTTCAAAACGACAAAAACTTAATCTTTCTTTTTATTCTTCTATTTTAGTTTATGTTTGTTATATTAATAAAATCATATTCTTACAAGCTGATATTGTGTATGTTATCCAGTATTTGCAACTTTTCAAGCTCGAAGAGCAAGTGCACATGCAAGATATAGTAGAAGATCACATTCAACCCGCATTCCTACTTCTAGTCCTAGAGGGTCATCAGTGGAAGAAAAGATTTTAAAAATAATTCTAATAATGAGTATGACGATACTTATGTGGATGTAGAGTTTGATGAGGTGGACTGATAATGATAGTGGTGTTTAATATGTTTATGATGGATTTACTTTGATTTGACTTGATCATTATCATTTGAGAATGGTAAAACTAAAAAGAATCAATTATAAGGTGACGATAATGTCATATGTGATTATTAAAAATGTGTTTTGTATCACAATAGATGATCCTAGTGGTAATATTGTTGTTTTTATTTATATGAGACAATAGTTGAAAGAGTGAGAATAAGATGTTTTGGATGAAAAGTATTTGTAGAGGCAGGGGCGGAG